GGAAAGATCACATTTTTCCTCTTAGGAAATTCTTCTTGATTTTTAAGTTAGGTGTCCGAGATACCTATAACTTGAAAATCTATCTTTCTATCTATCTATCTGTCTTAAGCTTAGTAGGAATTATTAAAAAAAAAAAAAAAAAAAAAGTAAAATCCATCAAGATTGTTTTGTGGCATTTTGCAAGTTGGGGAAATTACTACAAGCCACTGTTTTCACATACATTAAACATTTGACAGCATTCATTATCTATTCATTTGATGTACATAACTATCTTGAGAAAACATCTTCATCTTAGTTACATTTTCATTCAAAATATACAATGTACAGTTACTGAGTTTGATTTTCAGAATGTCAGTGCTTATAGTCCTTGTATTTGTATAATAGACAAACAGCAAAACCTACTTGAGAAGGCATGGTATTTTCTTTAAAAGAAAAGGAAAAAAAAATGTCCAATGTGTTTATTACAGAGCATTTCTACTTGGTGTGCCTTTTGAAATATTGTATATAAATATTCATGCTTTGTAAGCACACATAGATGTATGTGTGTATATACTCATAAGTAATATGAATTATTGAGGTGTTCTCTTAAAAGTTTGAGGCTGTAGCATGGTAAAATACCCCACCCTACCTGTTGTACTTCAGCAATTCCTTAATCCAGCATGCAAATGAATTCATGGTGAGGGCTTCCTGCATTTAATGACTGATCATCTTCATAATATTTTTTTGTTAAGCTCTTTTCTTTTCTTTTTTAATAAGAACTTAGTACATTTTCTTATTACAATTCCGATATTAGAATACAAGTAAATAGTCTCATGCTTACAAACTGTTAAGGAAACTTAGGAATGGACACTGGCTCCAGCCACCCTGGCTCAGGACCCTCTTGTCTGGATGCTGAAGCCCACTTTGGTGCTCCTGCGGACCCGTGGTCTCTACCCGAGCTGAAGGGTGCCTCTGCCTTTTTTCCATTAGCAGTGTCAACCAGTAGCAAAGTTAAGCATGTGTCTCAGAGACAGGCACAAACACAGGTACACACACAGGGAATGGCCATGCCCCATCACACGGATGGCCACAGACAAGGCACTACCTCCAGCATCACCCTCATTCAGGACTCACACCAGACACAGGCACAGACAGCCACGTCCCCTCCTCCTCTTGGGCTGGCAGAGGCAGAAGGTCACTAGTGCAGCACACACACCGCACTCCCCCCAGGTTCACAAGCTCACACACATTCCCCAATCCCTGAGTACGGCACGGCCCCTCTGCCCTCCTCACTCATACTGGTCCCTCCAGTAGTTGGTTTTCGGGACG